TTAAAATTTAAGATCAAGATAATAGTACAAGAGTAGTATAGCAAGATACGTACTAGGTTAAGAGAAAGCTTCGTGGTTGGAGTAAGTCCGTAGGAACCCTAGTGAGATAAGTTGTAAAAATGAAAATAATTATAAAATATTATTCATAAATTGAAATGTTAAATTGAAAATATACTGAAAGAGGTAATTGAAAAAAAATGAAGGGAGAGATCGTGGAATCGAACCCGCGTGCTTTAGTTAGTATGTCAGTGCTCTACCACTATAGTTACTACTATATGTACGTAGAAGAGTCAGATTTTCTCGATATTGATTATGATATACGAGGTGTGTTCAAAAAATAACGAGAATTTTCGTTTTATGAAAAAAATATTTATTTATTCATCTACATTAATGTTGTCGCCTTCAAAGTAGTCCCCTTCGGATACAATACACTTATGCCAACGCTTTTTCCAATCCTTGAAACACTTTTGAAATTCGATCTTTGTAATAGCTTTTAGCTCTTTCAGCGATTCGCTTTTAATGTTATCTATGCTTGTAAAACGACGGCCTTTTAATGTTCTCTTTATTTTTGGAAATAGAAAAAAGTCACATGGAGCCATATCTGGCGAATATGGAGGCTGAGGCATCGTTACAGTTTCGTTTTTGGCCAAAAATTCACGAAGCAATGAAGTGTGAGCAGGCGCATTATCGTGGTGCAAAAGCCATGAATTGTTTTGCCACAAATCCGGGCGTTTTTTTCGGATTGCTTCACGCAAACGACGTTGAACTTATAGGTAGTACTGCTTATTGATTGTTTGACCTTGTGGCAAGAATTCATAATGCACTATGCCATTAAAATCGAAGAACACAGTGAGCATAACCTTCACATTCGACCGCACTTGTCGAGCCTTTTTCGGTCTTGGCGATCCAGAATGCCTCCACTGGGACGATTGAGCCTTAGTTTCGACATCATATCCGTAAACCCATGTTTCGTCACCTGTTATAACACGTTTTAGTAGTTCTGCATCGTTATTGACTTCATTTAGCGACTCCTGAGCAACTTCCATTCGCCGCTGTTTTTGTTCGAAATTCAACAATTTTGGAACGAATTTTGCTGCCACACGTTTCATACCCAAAACATTCGAAAAAATTTGATGGCATGAGCCAACTGATATGCCAACATCATCAGCGACTTCTCTGATTGTGATTCGGCGATCGTTCATAACCATTTCTTTCACTTTTTTCACGTTTTCATTGGTTGTTGATGTGCTTGGGCGTCCGGGTCGTTCGTCATCTTCAACGTTTTCGTGGCCATCTTGGAAACGCTTATACCACTCATAAATCCTTGCTTTACTCATAGCAGACTCACTATATGCCTTTGATAACATTTGGCAAACTTTACTACACTTTATTTCATTTTTTACGCAAAATTTAATACAAATTCTTTGATCCATTTTTTTTCACAAACGAAAATCGCCGAGCTCGAAAAACACGTCTAACGTTAGCGGCTGCCACTTAAAAAGTAAGCAATGAATATTGCTGAAAATTTTATCGTACTTCAGGGGCATGAGTACCAACATACTACTGTGGGCAAAAAGTAAGGTGAATTTTCAATTTAAACTTCGCGGGCTTAACATTTCGGGTTAGTTCTTTTTTTCTTGAGTTGGTAGAACTGCGAATGACATCTGGGACAAATTTCATGTCAATGTCATCATCAGTAATATATTTACGCTTGTGTTTACCAAACGACCAAGAGTGCATGTTTCGATTTTTACAATGTCTGATTTAATTCAGCAAAGAAGTGCCATCAAATTTTGTTTGCGGAATGAAATTTCGGCTGCGGAAACGTTGAGGATGTTGCGGAAGGCCTTTAGTGATTCTACCATGTCGCAGAAAAATATTTATAAGTGGTACAAAGACTTCAAAGAGGGTCGAGAACGTGTTGATGACTTGGAGCACTCCGGACGACCATCGACGTCAACAGATGACCAACATGTCAATAAAGTGAAGGAATTAGTGCTCGAAAATCGTCGGTTGACTGTTAGAGACCTTACTGATATGATCGGAATATCAGAAGGATCTGTGAAAACAATTTTGAAAGACCATTTGGGCCTACGAAAAGTCAAATCTCGTTTGGTACCGAAAACGCTCAATTTCTTGCAAAAAAGTCGCCGCGTTGATGTGTGTGAAACAATGCTTTCTGACTATCAGGACAAGCTCAAATGCATGATTACGGGAGATGAGACTTGGATTTATGCTTACGACCCTGAAACAACCGACCAATCAAGCGAATATCGTGCTAAAGGCGAGGCCAGACCGAAAAGAGCACGTCTAAGTCGTTCAAAAATCAAGGTCATGATGACAGTTTTCTTCGATTTTCGTGGTGTGGTGCACTATGAATTCCTTCCACCCGGCCAAACTAAGGCCAAACTGTTAATAAGGAATATTATTTGAGCGTTATGCGTCGTTTGCGTGAAGCAATTCGTCTAAAAAGACCAGAATTATGGGCCAACAACTCTTGGGTTTTGCATCACGATAATGCACCATCTCACACTGCACTCGTTCTTCGTGACCATTTCGCCAAAAATTCGACGCATATCGTTCCGCAACCACCGTATTCGCCTGATTTGGCTCCGTGTGACTTCTGGCTATTCCCAAAACTCAAGAGACCACTCCGGGGAACGCGTTTCGAGTCGATTGAGGAGATAAGAGCTGAATCGAAGAAGGCGCTGATGGCTATACCGGAAAGGGACTATTTGGCATGTTTCGAGGATTGGAAAAAACGTTGGCATAAGTGTATTTTATCGGGAGGGGATTACTTCGAAGGGAATGACATTGATGTAGAAGAATAAATAAAGATTTTTCACTTTACAAACAAATTCACCTTACTTTTTGCCCACAGTAGTAATAAAAAAAAATTTTATACAAGCGGACTCTCCAAACCCGTGAAATTTAAAAATTCTCGTTACTTTTTGAACACACCTCGTATGTTACGGAGGCTTAAAGTGTCGCGACATACTGTAAATAAACGAACTCTTTACAAATAAAAATATTTTCAGGATCCTGAAAGTCTTGCACATAAAAAATATAGTCCATATTTAGATTATAAATCCAATTGTTCCCCGTGATATGCGAACTGTATCTTATCTCAAAGCAATAATGACTATTTTTTTGATATAACGATTTACTCGTATATAAACCTTTTTCTTCAAAATTATATCATTTACAGTTTTCGAATATATTAATTTTTCATTCGAGCTATCCCCTCCATGTTCTACAGCACCATCACTTTGCTTACACCGTCATCACTTAGTCTTAAAACCACTTCGATCTAGTAGAAAAGCGCAGTCTCTAGAGACAACCAGCGAACTACGCTTGCCTTACATACTCCATTTGTAAGATTCCTTAGGAGTTAGTTAAATCCTTATTGATTAGTTAATAAAATCAATCTTCATCTATAATTGAGAACGAGCTCATTTTGGAACTATTCGATACCAATTTTTTTTTTTTTATTAATAATCCTTTATAAGATAACTAACTAACTAATTAGATTACTAAACTAACTACTGATACGATACGTATGAGATCGTGAAACAAGATTAATAAATTTGACACATCAGACTATTCAGTTGATAATTAATTTAGTATACCTCTCGCTAACAAAAAGTTCTTGGAATCATGAAGGATGAGTGCAATACCTCCATTATGAGAGAGTATATTGAGTTACAAAGTAAATTGTATAGTATTGAAATAGCAACTAAGAAACACCTGAAAAAGGTAAAAGGAGTAAAAAATATACAGTTAAAAATAATATCACGCATTCAGATTATCGAAAAAGCTTAAATGAAGTAGAAATTATTAAACGTACCTAGTGTAAGATACGAACCAAATTACATCAAATATTAACAGAGAGAGAGAGAGAGAGGGGGGGGGGAAAGAGGACTAAGTCCTCATGATGACAAACGTCGTATATTTGTTCATAATTCAGACACGCTTCCATTGTAGCTTTATAAAACTCTCGAAATCGCAAAATTGAAAGAAAGAGTTACAAAATTACGAAGTAAGAGGTAAACAGCATTGTAAAAAGATCGAGAATCGAAGAAAATGAATCTAGAGGGCAACACTAGCGAGAGAATTCTACTCCCTCGACAGGCAGTAGATGTCGCTCACGACTTACATCAAGTAACTGGTAGAACAAGCCGCCTAGAAGGAGACTGAAGCTGATAGGAAGTTTAGAAAAAAAGAGGAAATGAAGAGGAAGAAACAACGGCTGCCAGAGTCTGCGGAGTGGTAGTACGGTTCCAGGTGAAGAATAATCAGAGAGGGAGACTGAAAGAGAGGGGAACAAAAACGGTGGATCGAGCTCTAAGAGTAGGGATGCAACCAATATAATCAACAGCTCGCTCTTGTCGAGTAATGAGGTTCAAAGTCAAATCCAAGGTCACCATCGAATTCCTTGTTCAAAGTTACTGAAGAATGACCTTGATCTTTTTCAGAAATGAAGTACTTTAAAAAATATTCAGCCGTCGCCGGACTTAATTGATACCCTGTATATATATGATACGTATTTTATATATATACAATATATAATATATTTTACATATATATAATCCTTTGAAAGATCTTGAGAAGATTTTCATAATGCATCTATGCTGATCTCGATATATTCGCTTTTCACTTAGGTATAAGACTTTGAAGTTTTCACAAATTTCTTTTTTGATGGACAAAAGTAATTAACCGGTACAGTATATATATTTTTATTTTTTTTTCTTCATGAGTTTTTATATTACGTGATAGTATATAGCTCTACTTCATTTTAGTAATTTAAATATCCAGGTATAAAAAAAAATTTGGTAGTTTTAGTTTTAATTAATTCATATTTTAAAAGCAAACTTCAACCACAACTGATTAATAAAAATAGTTGTGATTTAGTGCTTTATTGAAATATTTAGTAATAAGCATTCGCGATAATTAGATGTTAGTCATTTGAACTTTGTTAAATTAAAACAAAATATTCATACCGCTTTTCTTTTATCTTCTGAATTCAGAGAGTTGTGACTGCGATGTCGTATGAGATCAATAACTTTACTAACAGGATTCCGACTACTTTCTGATCCTGATCGTGGTCTAATTTGTTCTTTGTTTTCTTTGTGACTTTTTTCTGTTGTATTTTCAAGAACGGAACTTCCATGTGAGTTTCTGTATAAAGATTGCTAAAAGTATAATAAAATATCATTTTTGTGACAGTAATATTCAATACATTTATATTTTGAATAAGATATTCGATAACATTTTTCATATTTAAATGAATTTCTTATTAAAATATGTTTTTCAGGAATTTAACATATTTTAAGATTGTGGCGGGGAATTTCGGGGGGTCTTAGCCGCGCTCTTGAATCTCTTCCGCCACAAGGCCTGTTTGGATCTTTATCTCCGATTATTTTAGGGTACCAAACCGCTGTGTGATTAAGGCAATCGTTGGGAATGGGGCCTAGTATCGCAACGTACTCCGGTTTACTTCCAGGATGACTGCGTAGTGTGGGCAAACGTATGGGGACCCGCGATCTCCTTTATTTCAGGCCTTTGATGTCCAACAATTTGGTTTCCTTCCTTCTTCTCGTTTGTAATATGCCGACAGCTCAGGTTGTGACACTCTACCTCGGGTCGGAAGTTCGTTCGAATTCGCCCGTATGTCACCTATCGTGAGAACTAAAAAATAACGAACCAGTGTTTCCCGATGACAACCGTCCGCGGCTGAAAATAATCAGCATGTAAAGAAGGTAGGGTAACAAGAAGCAAAATTTATAAAAAAAAATTAATCACTCTTTATTAATTTTATCTCACTCTACATACACACGTGGTCTAATTAACGAAAGTTCAATATAACTCAACACAATTCTATGTAATAGTAAGGGCACGAATTAATAGAGACTAAAGTTCTTTCATTCGGTCTTCGATTAAACGAAAATGGCGGAATGGTCAGTGCGACGTAATCGAAGAATTTTAATAACCTGGTTTGATTAAGCTTAATTTTCAACTACGTCCTAATAACCGAACAATTAGTTAACACAACCCAACTCAAACATTAACTAACTTCCGATTAATTTAACACTCGCATTAAATTCAGATAAAGGCGAAAGGTCAGCACAAATGAGTTAAACACTAATCTTCTTCGCGCCTAATTCTAACACGCGCGTTAAATTCGAATAACGGCGGAAGGTCAACACGAATGAATTAAACTCTGAATACCTATATCTTCGATTATAACACTCACGTCTTGATTCGAGTAGATAGCAAGGGTCAACGCGAATTATCTAGATCACTGATTTATTCTTCGATCGCCTTCTTCTAATCCCATCAATTCTGGGAAATGGCGGAATGATCAGCGCGAATCACTCTACGTACCCGAGAAATCGGCATTGACGGATCCACGCGTCGCGGTGACCTGTTAGGCCGAGAAACTCACGCCCGCACTCCGCAATTATCAAATATGAGTGGCACTTTGCGTACTTACGATTTCGGTGGAAGATTCGGTGATTGAACTTGGAAAATTTGGGCTGTTTGTTACAGGTCATCGTTGCAGCCGAGAGATAGCGGAAAAATCTACGAGAATCGGCTTTTCGTGATAAAAAATCACTCTTCCACTCCTCTTTCCGAGAAGAAAACCTATTATTGGCCGATATGCTAATTCGGATATCGGTAACGCCCTCCGAATTTTTCATCATTGGTCAGTATGTAAATTAGAGAGATACAGCACCCGCATTTTATCTCCTACTTTTGTCGCTATTTACCCTCTCTCATCCCCCCACTAAGTCGGTTAACATTGATCAATCAGAAAGATCTACCCCTACTCTTATCTATTTTTCGATGCGGATGGAAATCAAATTTTATTCTAATTCGCTTATTGATCGTGACGTCACCAGCGAGTTTCGTCAGAAGTTCGAATTTCGTCGGTTAATTTATCAATTTAATTTGTCGGAATGTTTGTCGCTTATAATTACAATAAAGGGGTATGTCGGTCGCATATGAATTTTCCTAATTCTGTATTTTTACATTTTTCATTTTTAATTTCAACTTTGATTAATTGTGAGTAATAAAATAATTAAAGTCATTTCATTCGTAGCGCCCTAATCTTCGCATTTATATTTAATTTTATTTATCATTTCGCTCGCTTCATATAGTCGATCTCGCTCGCTCTTATTTAGTCTATCACGCTCGGTCTTGTTTAGTCTATCTCGCTCGCTCTCGCTTAGTCTGTCTCGCTCGTTCTCGTTCAGTCTGTCTCGTTCGCTCATGTTCAATCTGTCTCGGGGCATCAAAATGGCCGCTAGCTCTCTCGCGCATGCACCTCGTGTTCCGATACCGGTCTTTGGAACGCCTCCTGGAGCGCTCCTGTTTCGGTCAGGTGATGTTTTTGAGTGTTATTTATGTTTCTGGGTGTCACTAGTAGTCATTATTAGTGTGAGTGTGTGGCGCTCAGGATATCGTCGATGGTGTGCGGCAGCCCGACACAGCTGATTGCCGGCTGACACTTCATCGGCGATTTTCTGCTCACCCCAGGTGTGCCAGCGTTCCACGAGTGTTAGTGCTAGTGTTTGGGAGTGTAACGAATCTGCATGTATCATCAACATGCATTTCAGTTGCATTTCCAGTTAAGTTTCCCGTGCTTTTTCTCCGGTCGGCAACACGTGGTTGTGAGTGAGTGTGTGCGTGCGCTCTCTTATTTTGTAGTGCGCTCCATTTTTGAGTGTCGCATTCATCTGGCTTGCTTCATTAATATCTCTGGTGTTGTTGTTCGGACATAAAAAAAGATAAGTATTTGTTTTAGAACGCGTCTGGGTTCGCGTTATACGACTGGTTACGGGCGGCAAGGAGATGGCTTTCCTGAGGTGTTGCAAATAATGCAACACTCTCAGGCAAAGTCTTGTAATGTACCACATTGCAAGATAACATTATTAACAAGTACTTAAAATGGATCCATCTCAAATTATTTTCAACTATTTCTATTATTTCTATTGTTATAATTCAAACGACATATGATTTTCAATAAATGAAACGGGTGAAGTATAAAAATACGGAGTGGGTATTTTAAGATTTAAATCATTCTTATATCTAGTAGACGTAATATAAAAATTTTTCCAATTATCTTATTCATTTATTTACTATATACTTTAAGAAAATATATTCTATTCATTAAAAACATAATTGAACTTATGAAAAAATTCAAGGGGATTGAATTTCACTGGGAAGCCGACGGAATGTGCAGAGAATTATGTACATTGACAAAATTAGATTTTTATTTTCAACTACTATTTTAAACTATCACATATAAAAGAACTCTAACATATTTATTCAAATATTTGCATTATATTCAGAGTATCTCAAAAGCTCTAGGACCGTCCCAATCTCAAACAAAAAGTATTATCGGGAAAAAAGTTTTAGATACAGTTTTTAGTTTTATCATTGATATACCTAGTGATGACCTTCACTTTGACCTTACTTATTTTTCATGGCCATTTTAAAGGTAAACTTTCGTTTATTTTTGAATAGTAATCTCTACTTTCAACCCTAGATTTAGTAGATTTAGAATCAGTGGAGAATTTTACGATAGATAGTTAGACAGTTTAGAAAATATATCATATGTGGGGTCTAATAGACACCCCAAGATGGTCAAAATCATTTAAATTTCAATGTTATTTTTTTAATCTGTTTACCCAAAAGACCCTATAATAACAAGGTTTAGCAAAATTTTCTAATCCAATTTCGAGAGTTTGACAACAACCCGTTGTCAAAAAATAATAATCAAACAATCATCTCAGGTTACACACGTGTGTTTCGTTGGTAGATATCCAACCTCATCAGATCTTTATTAAAAACAAATGAAAAAATGGTTACAATAAATGATACATATAGAATGAATAAAAGTCACCCTAACAAACATTTACCTCAATTCACTAATCACAATCAAATTAACTATTACAGTAAAACCAGAAATACAATATTATCATATATATGTATTTCAAAAATGGCTTGTGTTACGTCTCAATAAGGTTTACACAGGCAAGGTCGACATAAGAGCACCGTCAATTCATATGTTTTTGTTGCTGACTCTGTGGGAGAGCTCTTAAAAAAGTTTTCTCACGAAGTTGAGTAGTAAAGGCAGGCGAAATTAGTTAATACTGCAAAAATTACTACTGATTCGCGAGCGCGTGCTAAAATGAATCCACCTGCACGAACGTCAGCAAGAGCAGAGTGCACTATCTCCACGTGCCAAATATAAAATTTCCCTAACTCGAGATGAGTCACGGTAGAAATTAGCGCTTCCGCGATGCATTTTTTGTCAGTGATAGTTAGTCTAGCTAGAGTATCACGATTAGTAGTACAACTTTCTTTCTTTTTTTTTTTATTTAGCAATTCATATTTCTCATGAGATATACAAGGTATCCCATTTTAAAGGAACCACCCCGAAATTTTCGACGGTTGACGTTGTACAAAAAAATTGTTCAGACAATAGTTGTTTGGGACAATGGGGGCAACCTTTCTGTGAAATCCGATTTGACCTTGAGATTCATTTTCAAGGTCATTTGAAGGTCAAAGTCATTTTTTGAATAAGAACCCATATTTTTGATCCCGGAATCGCAAAGAGCGGAAAATTCTACGTTCAGATAACGTATTATGTGTGGTGTGCGGTTAACCCCCCCCCCCCCCTCGTCTAAGGTCATGTAGGGGTCAAATTTATGATTTTCTTCATCTATGCACAGGGATGATGGGGCAAGAGTAAGGTTAATTGTAATAACCCAATAACTCGATAACCCAAATAACCCAATAATCCAATAACCCAACAACCCCAATAATTCAATAACACCAATATCCCAAAAAAATTGTCAAACAACAGTGACCTTGAGCTTAAACTTCAGGTTAATTTTCAAAGTCGACTTCATGTATTCAAAGCCATCATGAGAAGTGTCATTTTCCATTTTGTGGGATAACATGTTATTTCCATTATTTTTTCTGGTGTGATTCCGGACAAGCCTACAAAGTTTCAACTAAATTTTTCAATAACACTTTTTTAGTATTGTTTATGACAATAGTGATTCGCGAACAGTTCTTCTCAGGATAGTTCAAGTGTAATTTTCTTAGTTGACTTAAAAGGAGGGAATATGCCGGATTATTCGAGAAACGAAATTGTTGATATTCTGTTGTCTCTCGGGGT